TTTTACTCAATTATAGTTTAACTGAAAAAACCTAGATACTTGAGTTCCACAATGCATTGCTCTAAAAACGACCAGCCATATTGGAACAGCTAACCGCTCCTTGAGATCGTGTATATGTTCAGATTAACTTTACTTCTTGAAGGCTACTTTACTAACAGCTTATGGCTTTAGATCGTCAACACCTGCTGGAAAATATAAATTAAAAAATATCCAATTATTACTATTATGTATTATCTTGTGTTCATAAGTCCTCTAAATCGGTCATTTAAAACTAGAAAACTGAGGTGCTTAACTAAAGAGTACACGTGTTCGTGCGCATCAAAAAAGGCCACTTCAAGTTTTCCTATTGATAACTGTTTTTTATCTCTTGTGCTTTTCCTCTCAAAGTTCAAGAATCTCGCCCGTTCCCCAAAACAGTGGGAATAAACTGGGACTGTACAACACGTAAGGCTAGCCAAACGAGGTTTAACGTTTTCGAGTAATCCTGCTGGCTCCGCTTATCAGCCAAAAAAAGGCAGCTCCCCCTGGGGGGAGGGGGTACTCCTGGGAATTTTTGGTGGGAGTGTGCCGCCCGCTTCTCCAAATCCTGACCCGATTCCAGACCAAAAAGTGTAATTTTCCGTACCCGTTTTCAGAACAGACCTCTAAAATCCATACCCATTTTCATACCTGGCCTTTAGGCGGAAATTATGTTATCATTAGATTAGAGCGCAAACAAACAAACTCATCGAAACCATTTCGAATTCGCATATTTCTCTTTCTTTCTTACTCATTTGGAATTGAGACGATAAATATCTTCCTACACTCCCGTAGTTCCCGTAGTTATCATTCTCGATTCCAGACCAAAATAAGCAAAGTGTATACCCGTTTTCAGACCAAAATGGCGCAAAAACCCTACCCGATGCCAGGGGCGGCACATATCTATATAGCTTATATAAGGGAGTACCCCCGCCCCCCGGGAGGGGGCAGCTCTCGGTTGTATAAGTTCTGTCCAAACTTGTGTTTGAGAATGAAAGTATATGGTAATGACTTTAAAGCAAAGGAAAATACAATTTATGCCCCGATACATCCCATCAATAGTTAGGACGGTCTATAACTTTGATCAGCTGTTCTGGCAAATTGTCAGTTTTTCAAAAACAAATTCTATTGTTGTCCACGACTTTGCCATACGCAAACACAGGAAGGACTTAACAACTGCTGCATGCATAACACGACCCTACGCCATGGGAGTTGGCCACCTTACTAAATAACTCTTAAAAAACGCAAATATTATCTAGTAGTCTGTGGGGAAACGATTTAAGAGGCAGGGATTGAGACTGTTTTTACCTCTGGAAAGATCCCGGCTAGGTCCCTGTGGTAAAGAAACAGATCAGACAATTCGAAAATGTTAGTTAAGATACTTCACTAAGACGATGCCATGTTAATAGTATCTATATTATATTTCTTACACCTGTGTGTTCTTCTCTATCCATGAATTCTGTTGTGTCTGACCAAATAAAATACTTCCTTTACCTATAAACTATAAACAATTTTTTACTATATACACGCGTAGGCCCGAGGAGCATTTGCAGATATACAGAAAAAGTAATGCAAAAAAGTGCAATTAAAAAATTGAGTGCTGTCCTTCGCGTGAATAAACTTATTTTATGGGGCTAATAAAACTCGCTTTGTATTAAAAGTACTGGAAATATTTTAATATTTTAAAACAGAAAGGTCATTTATTTCAAGTGAAGAATTTAGTACAAGTCCGTTGAATAACATCCTTGGCCCGTTTCAGATTTCTCTTTTTCCCTAATTATGACGTCATCAGACACTAAACTTAAGGACTTCTAGTGGTCATTAAGACTGAAACACTTCTCGGCGATTTATGAGGTATGGCCAGGACCTTACGCAAGCGCACACCCAGATAACCTTGGAATTGGCAGCCACGGACAACTGTTTCGCCCTTTTGATTGGGAGCTCATCAGAGTGATCGTTGCATTCAGATGGTTCAGCACAATGACATTATTCAGCGTCTATATGTACTTAGCGTCTATACTCAAGGGATTAAGGTCTGGCTTCTGGGGTCAATAGAGTGTTGCAAAATATGCTTGATTGGCAATCTCTTGCTAGGATTCCCTGAACGAACAGGATAAAATTTTTCCCGAAGGGAAATCTTAGGGTTTTCAGCAGCAGCCTTGACGTATGTTTATGGTCACGTGAAATACCACTTGATCAAAAGTTTGAAACAAACCATATGAAAATGTAGAAAGTAATGGCGATCGAGAAGGCCTAAAGGAAACCATATGAAGCTAATGAATGTTAATTAGGCCTCCCCTCAATTATAAGTTTTCAAAGATGACCTAAAAATTACGGCGACGGATACAATTTTTGCCAAAAAATATTATTACAATTTTTATCATAAATGTATTAGAAGTTTACGATTAATACAAATACAAATTATTACAATTATTATCATAAATGTATTAGAAGTTTACCATTAAGGTGTTTTGATACAGTTTTTCAGAAGCCATAGCAATATTTTTCAATCGCCTTAAAAGTGTTTTTTTCCTTGCACGATCGTTATAAAATTTTCACCAGTAATTGGCTGTGGATTGAAATTTGTGAAAATGTAGTTTTATGTAAAATCGATATTACTATGACAACAATAAACAAAAAAATTGAAATTGATAAAGGCCGAATTTTGTGTGATCTAGGCTAGCTACTGAAAATCCAACACTAGAAACTTAAAGTTTGGTGTTAAGCAAATAACCTCAGCAAGAAGTAAAAAATTCTGTATGTCAGTTGAATTCGACTAAAACTAAAATATATTTCAAACCTTAAATTTTCAATAGCCGTGATAGATTATTTAATAAAAACGTTATAAATAACTCAAATTATTCTTAAGTAGCGTCAGAATGCTGCTTAATATGATATTTTGATGCTTGGAAATTTTGCTGTATTTTCGTGCTTAAGATCTCGAAAACTAACCCGTTTTCTCACCACTTTTATAAGCACAACTTCATTCAAAATTGGACTTAAAGCGCTTTTTTGTATACCTCTGAAACGACTCGAACAAATTTTTTTAAAATCTCTTCACGTAATCTTCATAATGTATATAATAAGATCTGAAACTTTCATTGAGATTGATTCACTGCAAGATCTTAAAATTTCAAGACAAACCTATCCTACGAAACTGTCAAAAATCTGCGTTACAATATTCACTGTTTTGACGTTATGCTAATTTTTCCAAAATAACGCGCACTACACATACCTCCATGACTAGTACATTTTAGTTTGAATTTATCGCATCTTTTGGATGTAAACATTGACAATACTTACAGTGAAATTTGCTAGTCATGGATACATGTATTGTCGCTAAAAGTCCAAATTTTGAATAAAGTTGCACTTAGACGGGTGGTGAGAAAACGGGTTAGATTTAAGATCGCAGCAACGAAAATACACCAAAATTTCCTAGCATCGAAATATGATATTAAGCAGCATTCTGACGCTACTTAAGAATAATTTGAGTTATTTATAACGTTTTTATTAAAAAATCTATCAAGGCTATTGCAAATTTAAGGTTTGAAATATATTTTCGTTTTAGTCGAATTCAAACATACAGAATCTTTTAATCCTTACTGAGGTTATTTGCTTAACACCAAACTTTAAGTTCCTATTGTTGGATTTCCAGTAGCTACTCTAGATCGCGCAAAATAAGGCGTTTATCAATTTCGAAGTTTGTTTTTTATTGTTGTCATGGCAATATCGATTTTACTAAAACCTACAGTTTGACAAATTTCAATCTATAGTCAATCATTGGTGAAAATTTTATAGCGATCAGACAAGGATAAAATCACTTTTAAAGCTATTGAAAAATATCGGTATGGCCTCCGAAAAACTATATCGAAACACCTTAATGTTTTAAGTAATTCACGTGTGAATTTGGCCATTGAAATGGTGTTTGTCCTCATAATTATTTTTATCAAAGTTTCAAAGGACAGTTTCTGTAAACGTAAATTGTTAGAAATATTTAATACAAAGACTGTAAAGAGAAGACGATTTCTTTTCTAAAATCGGTCACCAATTCGTTACTTATTTGAGACTTTCAGTAAGAATGGTCACGTGACAGTTCAAGCCAGGTACTAAACGGATACTAGTTGTACTTTAATATTTTCAAGGACCTTAAGTGTCTCTCTATCTATACCATTTCGACTCAGTTCCATTCCTGCCAAAATTATAGCTAATAAACCATTTTTTTCCCAGAGGTAAACTCACTAACCCAGGTTTTAAACTTCTTGAAGTATAACTTCAACGTTAACCCTCAGACGAAACCCACTAATTTTCCTTCCCACACTCGAAATTCCTGTTGAAAAAGGGAGATGGTGAAGAAAGGCTAAGCAACTGCAAAGGGAATACATTACAGAATTCTCGATTTTTTAGCTTGCTAAGAATAGACTAACAGAGTGTTGGGCAGATAGGACGTTCTCCAAACAGGGAGAGTTATTGTTATTTTTGCGTCTTTAATTTGATTTTGTGGCTAAGATGCATTACTCAGAAAATAATAAGTATGCAATTAATTTAAAATAAAAGCAAGATTGCTATTGGCTAGTCCATAGCTGTATATGAATAATTAACATTAAAATTACATCTAAATTTAATACCTTAAAGTACTAAAATTCTCGCCTGAGAGCTTTAGAATGGACAGAACGTTTTTAGCTTTAAATTACTTATTACTATTAGGATTTTAAGGGAGAATACAGTACAACAGTAATTATTACACACCCTGTTGAAACAGAATGTCACTCACTTCATTCGAAATGGGAAATTTGGCGCTGACTAGAGTCGGGACTTAACAGATCAACAAAGTAATTTAAGTAATCTGCAAAATGTACAGCTATGAGTGGGCCCCTGCTACGATCGGGCTCGACATGAAAGTGAGGCAAACGAATCGTATTAAGCCCGGGCCTTTTTTAAAACAGAAAGGCTCAATTCTAATAATACCTACCAGAAAATACAGTCTATTTATTATCGCGCTTACTTGAACAGATCACTGATGCATCCTCATGGTGTCCACAGTTATGCACACCCCATGGATTGTGTCGACAACTCACAATGGAACCTTCATTTCCCTGACACTGAACATCGTCCAGCCAAATCTTTCCACTTCCTTGACCAAACCGTGCACTGTGTGGAGCACTGACAGCAAACGAATACCCGAGTTGACGACAGACAACTCGAGCATCATTTTTATCCCAATTATCGTCACAAACAGTTCCCCAGCTACCGCTGTAATAGATCTCCACTCTGCCCTCTCCAGGCCAATTTCCTCCAATCAGTCTCAAAGTTGCTAGTGTATAAGTTAGAGGTAAATTCTTATTTGGGTTTTGAAAAACAACTCTATTCCCTTATCTGTTATCCTGACATGCACACAGAATATTTTAAAATGGAAAACTTTGTCTTTTTGTGTAATCTGCAGGGAACTTCGGCGATGCTATTCGACTGAAGTGTGCAAAGAAATAGGGGAATACTGCGAAATGTAACGGAACAAGGCTAGGAATTTTCATTTTGAAAGAGCAACCACCAACAGACCGGAATGAATCTTTCAGCTCCCTCTTCGATGACCAAATTTATTATTGAGGAACAGAACTTAACTTTTCCCACGAGACTTGATTTAAAAATAAAAACGTCCGTGAAAACACCTTGACATACTGGCCAAGAGAGTTTAATGGGACCAGCAGAGAGGGAATCTTAATGTGCTGGCGTGGGTATGTGAAATTCACTAAATTTATTTTTAGCGGTTGTAATTAAACGGAAGTCTTATTCCTAAGGCGTCTGTTGAATTCTCTCTTGTCAACGCTGAATCAAGTTTTAACAAGAGTGGCAAATCAAAGGTGAGAGTACGGGGATGATTACAAAGCCCGTTATGTATTACACCAATCATGCTGTGATATATCATTTAGTAGTTAATTAAGCGATGTGTGTCCAGAGTTTTGTGCAAATGGCTGCATAGGTGAATTTTTAATGGCAATACTATGAACTGCGAGCTAATAAGAGTAGGAAAAATTATCCGTAGAACCGTTTCAAAGAGTCACACTCATGTGACGCCTGTCAAGTAATAGATCCTTCTTTGCACAATGTAAACTATTCCAATGAGTCTACAATTATATGGTCAGTAATTTCAGTATTTCTAATAGTAAACAGAATCATACAAACAACGTATTAAAAAAGCTTGCCCACCCAAAATATCGGGAAATTCTCGGGTCCAAGGCAAGTTTAGCCTGAACAGAGGTGTCCGCCCTGAATGGAGGTTGGGCTGGGGCTTGTTAATGATTAACCAACAAATAAAACTGCATTTTTTATTCTGCCTCGGAATCTGCTGCAGTCATTATTTCAAGCATCTAGATAATGTACAAAAAAATCCTGATTAACTTATTTCTGTAATGTAGTGTGTTGAAGTCCCACAAGTGTAATACGTCGTTTTCAAGTGAGATAGTTCATGTTTTGAAAGCTGTCGCCATTGTGACTAGTGAATACTTAAACTTATCAACGAATTTTGCCGTTAGTCAGCTTTTTGGTGCTGATTAAAGTGTCCCTTGAATGGAGGTTAAAGCCGGGTTTCGGGATCCAGAAAAAGTGTTCCTTTCCTCTGAATAGAGATGTCCCTCCAATAGAGGTAACAAATAAAAAGGTTATGTATGTGAACATTTTCCTGGGACTCCACTGAATTTTCCCTTCAATAAGGATAAGTCCCGAGAGGGTCCATTGTAATTGACATTAGCCTCAACTCTAATAAAATCTATTAATTAATACTTATAAATTACAATCTATTTATTATTACGCTTACTTGAACAGATCACTGATGCATCCTCATGGTGTCCACAGTTATGCACACCCCATGGATTGTGTCGACAACTCACAATGGAACCTTCATTTCCCTGACACTGAACATCGTCCAGCCAAATCTTTCCACTTCCTTGACCAAACCGTGCACTGTGTGGAGCACTGACAGCAAACAAATATCCAAGTTGACGACAGACAACTCGAGCATCATTTTTATCCCAATTATCGTCACAAACAGTTCCCCAGCTACCGCTGTAATAGATCTCCACTCTGCCCTCTCCAGGCCCACTTCCTCCAGTCAGTCTCAAAGTTGCTATTGTATAAGTTAGAGGTAAATTCTTATTTTGGTTTTGAAAAACAAAGAAACAACTCTATTCCCCTATCTGTTATCCTGTCATGCACACAGAATATTTCAAAATGGAAAACTTCGACTTTTTTTGTAATCTGCCCAGAACGTCTGGGATGCTATTCGGCTGAAGTGTGCAAAGAAATAGGGGAATACTGCGAAATGTAAAAGAACTAGGCTAGGGATTATCATTTTAAAAGAGCAACCACCAAGATACCGGTATAACACCATCATCTTTCAGCTCCCTCTTCGATGACCATATTTATTATTGAGGAACAGAACTTAACTTGAATTTTCCCGCAAAACTTCATTTAAGGTGTTGGCATGGATATGTAAATTTCATAAAATTTATTTTTAGTGGTTGTAATTAAACGGAAGTCTTATTCCTAAGGCGTTCTCACATTTTAAACAAGTCCAGAAATCAAGCCCTCAATACAAAAAAAGCAGAATATTTGCAATGGGGGCTGTTGAATTCTCTCTTGACAACGGTGAATTAAAGGCACAGTATAACGTTACTGCGCATACACGAAACTTTGATTTTTGGACAGGATATCACAAAATCAAAAGATGCGAGGACAGTAAGAGAACCTTGAAAAATCCGTTTGCGTCGCGCTTGGTTGAGTTCAATGCTACACTTAAACTTCTCAGGATTACAGATCAATGATACATTGTTCCCGTTAAATTTCGATTTGGGGAAATCGGGATTTTTTGGCGTTACTTTTATTGCCGTTCGCCAGAGGACCAAAACAAGAAAAGTGCTTTGATGCCGATTGACGGCTTATTTCTTCTGCTAGCTTCCATACAAGCTCAAATAATTGTGAAAGGAATACGCAGAAATGAAACAGCAATAATAAAGACTGAAGATGGAGAAATGATCGTCGCAGTGAACGCAATTTATGCAATTGCGTAAAGAAGCCTGAAAAAAAATTCAGGACTTCAGCGGAGTTTGAACCCGTGACCTTGCGATTACCGGTGCGATGCTCTACCAACTGAGCTATGAAGCCACTGACGTTGGGAGCAGTTATGCACACCCCATGGATTGTGTCGACAACTCACAATGGAACCTTCATTTCCCTGACACTGAACATCGTCCAGCCAAATCTTTCCACTTCCTTGACCAAACCGTGCACTGTGTGGAGCACTGACAGCAAACGAATACCCGAGTTGACGACAGACAACTCGAGCATCATTTTTATCCCAATTATCGTCACAAACAGTTCCCCAGCTACCGCTGTAATAGATCTCCACTCTGCCCTCTCCAGGCCAATTTCCTCCAATCAGTCTCAAAGTTGCTAGTGTATAAGTTAGAGGTAAATTCTTATTTGGGTTTTGAAAAACAACTCTATTCCCTTATCTGTTATCCTGACATGCACACAGAATATTTTAAAATGGAAAACTTTGTCTTTTTGTGTAATCTGCAGGGAACTTCGGCGATGCTATTCGACTGAAGTGTGCAAAGAAATAGGGGAATACTGCGAAATGTAACAGAACAAGGCTAGGAATTTTCATTTTGAAAGAGCAACCACCAACAGACCGGAATGACGCCGTCATCTTTCAGCTCCCTCTTCGATGACCAAATTTATTATTGAGGAACAGAACTTAACTTTTCCCACGAGACTTGATTTAAAAATAAAAACGTCCGTGAAAACACCTTGACATACTGGCCAAGAGAGTTTAATGGGACCAGCAGAGAGGGAATCTTAATGTGCTGGCGTGGGTATGTGAAATTCACTAAATTTATTTTTAGCAGTTGTAATTAAACGGAAGTCTTATTCCTAAGGCGTCTGTTGAATTCTCTCTTGTCAACGCTGAATCAAGTTTTAACAAGAGTGGCAAATCAAAGGTGAGAGTACGGGGATGATTACAAAGCCCGTTATGTATTACACCAATCATGCTGTGATATATCATTTAGTAGTTAATTAAGCGATGTGTGTCCAGAGTTTTGTGCAAATGGCTGCATAGGCGAATTTTTAATGGCAATACTATGAACTGCGAGCTAATAAGAGTAGGAAAAATTATCTGTAGAACCGTTTCAAAGAGTCACACTCATGTGACGCCTGTCAAGTAATAGATCCTTCTTTGCACAATGTAAACTATTCCAATGAGTCTACAATTATATGGTCAGTAATTTCAGTATTTCTAATAGTAAACAGAATCATACAAACAACGTATTAAAAAAGCTTGCCCACCCAAAATATCGGGAAATTCTCGGGTCCAAGGCAAGTTTAGCCTGAACAGAGGTGTCCGCCCTGAATGGAGGTTGGGCTGGGGCTTGTTAATGATTAACCAACAAATAAAACTGCATTTTTTATTCTGCCTCGGAATCTGCTGCAGTCATTATTTCAAGCATCTAGATAATGTACAAAAAAATCCTGATTAACTTATTTCTGTAATGTAGTGTGTTGAAGTCCCACAAGTGTAATACGTCGTTTTCAAGTGAGATAGTTCATGTTTTGAAAGCTGTCGCCATTGTGACTAGTGAATACTTAAACTTATCAACGAATTTTGCCGTTAGTCAGCTTTTTGGTGCTGATTAAAGTGTCCCTTGAATGGAGGTTAAAGCCGGGTTTCGGGATCCAGAAAAAGTGTTCCTTTCCTCTGAATAGAGATGTCCCTCCAATAGAGGTAACAAATAAAAAGGTTATGTATGTGAACATTTTCCTGGGACTCCACTGAATTTTCCCTTCAATAAGGATAAGTCCCGAGAGGGTCCATTGTAATTGACATTAGCCTCAACTCTAATAAAATCTATTAATTAATACTTATAAATTACAATCTATTTATTATTACGCTTACTTGAACAGATCACTGATGCATCCTCATGGTGTCCACAGTTATGCACACCCCATGGATTGTGTCGACAACTCACAATGGAACCTTCATTTCCCTGACACTGAACATCGTCCAGCCAAATCTTTCCACTTCCTTGACCAAACCGTGCACTGTGTGGAGCACTGACAGCAAACAAATATCCAAGTTGACGACAGACAACTCGAGCATCATTTTTATCCCAATTATCGTCACAAACAGTTCCCCAGCTACCGCTGTAATAGATCTCCACTCTGCCCTCTCCAGGCCCACTTCCTCCAGTCAGTCTCAAAGTTGCTATTGTATAAGTTAGAGGTAAATTCTTATTTTGGTTTTGAAAAACAAAGAAACAACTCTATTCCCCTATCTGTTATCCTGTCATGCACACAGAATATTTCAAAATGGAAAACTTCGACTTTTTTTGTAATCTGCCCAGAACGTCTGGGAAGCTATTCGACTGAAGTGTGCAAAGAAATAGGGGAATACTGCGAAATGTAAAAGAACTAGGCTAGGGATTATCATTTTAAAAGAGCAACCACCAAGATACCGGTATAACACCATCATCTTTCAGCTCCCTCTTCGATGACCATATTTATTATTGAGGAACAGAACTTAACTTGAATTTTCCCGCAAAACTTCATTTAAGGTGTTGGCATGGATATGTAAATTTCATAAAATTTATTTTTAGTGGTTGTAATTAAACGGAAGTCTTATTCCTAAGGCGTTCTCACATTTTAAACAAGTCCAGAAATCAAGCCCTCAATACAAAAAAAGCAGAATATTTGCAATGGGGGCTGTTGAATTCTCTCTTGACAACGGTGAATTAAAGGCACAGTATAACGTTACTGCGCATACACGAAACTTTGATTTTTGGACAGGATGTCACAAAATCAAAAGATGCGAGGACAGTAAGAGAACCTTGAAAAATCCGTTTGCGTCGCGCTTGGTTGAGTTCAATGCTACACTTAAACTTCTCAGGATTACAGATCAATGATACATTGTTCCCGTTAAATTTCGATTTGGGGAAATCGGGATTTTTTGGCGTTACTTTTATTGCCGTTCGCCAGAGGACCAAAACAAGAAAAGTGCTTTGATGCCGATTGACGGCTTATTTCTTCTGCTAGCTTCCATACAAGCTCAAATAATTGTGAAAGGAATACGCAGAAATGAAACAGCAATAATAAAGACTGAAGATGGAGAAATGATCGTCGCAGTGAACGCAATTTATGCAATTGCGTAAAGAAGCCTGAAAAAAAATTCAGGACTTCAGCGGAGTTTGAACCCGTGACCTTGCGATTACCGGTGCGATGCTCTACCAACTGAGCTATGAAGCCACTGACGTTGGGAGCAGATCAGTTGTGGGTTCATATGTCCCGTGAAAGAAATGAGTGTTAATGATATATGAAATAAATCATATTTGAACTGCAGAATTGAAATGAAGATGAAGAAATGATCGTCGCACGGGAACATATGAACCCACAATTGACCTGCTTCCAACGTCAGTGGCTTCATAGCTCAGTTGGTAGAGCATCGCACCGGTAATCGCGAGGTCACGGGCTTAAACCCCGTTGAAGTCCTGAATTTTTTTCAGACTTCTTTACGCAATTGCAGAAATTGCGTTCACTGCGACGATCACTTCTTCATCTTCATTTCATTTCCGCAGTTCACATATGATTTATTTCATATATCATTAGCACTCATTTCTTTCACGGGAACATATGAACCCGCAATTGACCTGCTCCCAACGTCGGTGGCTTCATAGCTCAGTTGGTAGAGCATTGCACCGGTAATCGCGAGGTCACGGGTTCAAACCTCGTTGAAGTCGTGAAATTTTTTCAGGCTTCTTTTCCCTCCTAAATGTTGTAGACTTGCACACCTATATGGCCTACCGAAGACGCATAAGGAACAACTTGCTATGCGCCCAATTCTCTCCGCTAAGCATACTTATAACTATGAGTTGGCTAAGTGGCTAGATGAAAAACTGAAACCACTCTTATGCAATCAGTACACGGTCACAGACACCTTTGAATTTGTCAACGAAGTACAAAGCCTAGAGATCAACAGAGGCGATATTCTAGTATCCTATGATGTCAACTCTTCATTTACCAATGTACCACTAGATGTAGCTATCCAGATCTTAACTGACAAAGCTTTCACTGATGACTGGTTTAACAAGACCCATGAACTGAACCTACCCAGAGATCAGCTAATTGAACTACTCCACGCAGCCACTAAGAACCAATTCTTTCAGTTTAATGGAAATCTCTATGAGCAAACAGATGGCGTCGCAATTGGATCTCCTCTTGGTCTTCTGCTCGCCAATGTCTTTATGTGCTCCATTGAAGATAAGCTCGATCAAGATGGCAAATTGCCCTTCTATTATCGACGATATGTGGATGACACATTTACCATCATGCCTGATATAGCATCAGCCGAAATTTTTTTTGATACCCTAAACCACTGCCACCCATCAGCAAAGTTTACTATATATGGAGGTTGAACGGAATGCCTCTCTTCCTTTCATCGGTGTTCAACAGTTAAACTTAGCTCCCAGAAACAAGACCAAGGTCTACGTAAAACCAACTAATACGGGCCTTTTACTCCACTACCAGAGCCACGTGGAAAATCGGTTCAAGCGCAGTCTAATTACCACCATGTTAGATCGAACTTACCGCATATCTTCCGACTGGTCGTACTTCTCACAAGAATGCGATCGGCTTGAGACTGTATTCTTAAAGCTTAAGTACCCGAGGCACCTATTCCTATGGATTCCAAGGAAGCAGACCAGCAGCAAATTCCATCAACCGACAAGACTCCAGCCCCCATCCGAGTTGTCATACCATTTTTAAAAGATCAGGTCTCTGCTAATATAGTGAAAAAACGTCTCACAGACCTCAGCTTAAAAATCAAGACCACTATTCAGCCCGTGTTCATCAGCAGAAAACTCAACGAAGACCTTAAATTTCGAGAAGTCAAGCGAGCCATTGTTAACCAACAATGTTTAGTTTATCAATTTCAATGTAACCTGTGCGATGCAGGATATGTTGGTTATACTCGCGGCCACCTCCACGAACGCGTTGATGGACACAAACAGAAATCGTCGCCAATTTGTAAACATGATCTTAGCGAACATAACTCGGACGTACCATTTTTTCTTTCAGAACAATTTCACGTGCTCACTAAAGGTTCTAACAAATTTGATTGCCTAATTAAGGAGATGCTCTTTATAAGAAAACTCAAACCATCCCTAAACGTGCAGGCGGACTCGATTCGCGCAAAGGTATTCACTTGAAGAACTTGTATGCTAATTTGTAGAGACTATAGAGATCAAATCTTCGCATTATTTATTGGTGTCATGATGATACCGAAACGTCGGCTTTTAACGTTAATATTCGCTTGCTTATGTTTTAAGAAATCGTTTTAGATCAAGACTTCTTTATGCAATGGCATAAATTGCGTTAACTGCGACAATCATTTCTTCATCTCATTTCCTTTCCGCAGTTCATATGTGATTAATTTCATATATCATTAACACTCAATTCTATCACGGGAACATACGAACCCACAATTGACCTTCTCCCAACGTCAGTGGCTTCATAGCTCAGTTGGTAGAGCATCGCACCGGTAATCGCGAGGTCACGGGTTCAAACCCCGTTGAAGTCCTGATTTTTTTTTTTTTTCAGGCTTCTTTACGCTATTGCATAAATTGCGTTTACTGCGACGATCATTTCTTCATCTTCATTTCATTTCCGCAGTTTATATGTGATTTATTTCATATATCATTAACAACAATAAGGACTGTAAGAAAGAAACCATTGAGACATTAATGTGGCTAAGGAGATCTTGTGCAATTATGTCTTGTAACGACGCGTTAGTAAACTTTTAAATGAACCTCCCAAAGGCCGACAAAATCAAACAAAGAGGCGCTACAAGTTTACAAAACTTAGCGCCATGAAATCATGAGGCGATGAGTCTTCGTACCGCGAGCCAAATTTTCAATAAGACGAAAGATTTCTTCGAAAGTTTAAAACATTACTTGAGAATGTAAACAACAAATCACCGTCGGCGATGCGGTCCGGAAAGGAATCTTGTCGAGTCAATATGACAGTTCTATTGTCTTTTGAAGAAAAAAACAGATGACGCTCGCGCGCGCGCACATTCGGGACACTGTTTCTTTAAGTTTGAGCAACAGTGGCGAATCAAAGGTTAGAGTGCGCGGATGATTCGAAAGTCCCTTATATATTACACCAATCATGCTGTGATACATCATTTAGTAGTTAATTAAGCGATTTGTGACTAGTGGTTTGTGCAAATAGCTGCGTAGATGAAATTTTAATGGAAATACTATGAACTGCAAGCTAATAAGAGTAGAAAAAAACTATCTGTGGAATAGTTTCAAATAGTCACACTCATGAGACGCCTGTCAAGTAATAGATCCTACTTTGCACAATGTAAACCATTCCAATGGGTCTAAAATTATATAGTCAGTAACTTTATTATTTCTAATAATAAATAGAATCAAAAAACTACATATTACAACAGCTTCACACCCAAAATATCGGGAAATTCTCGGGTCCAAGGCAAGTTTAGCTCGAACATAGGTGTCAGCCCTGAAAGGAGGTTGGGATGTGAATGTTAATAATTAACCAACAAATAAATCTGCATTTTTTATTCTGCCTCGGAATCTGTTGCAGTCATTATTTCAAGCATCTAGATAATGTACAAAAAAAATCCTGATTAACTTTTTTCTGTGATGTGGTGTGTTGAAGTCCCACAAGTGTAATACACCGTTTTGAAAGCTGTCGCCATTGTGACTAGTGAACACTCAAACTTATCAACGAATTTTGCCGCTAGTCAGCTTTTTGGTGCTGATTAAAATGTCGCTTGAATGGAGGTCAAAGCCGGGTTTCGGGACCCTGAAAAAGTGTTCCTTTCCCTTAATAGAGACATCCCTTCAAATAAAAAGGTTATGTATGTGAACATTTTTTCTGGGACTCCAATGAATTTTCCCTTGAATACGGACGTGTCCCGAGAGGGTCCATTGGTAATTGACATTCGGCTCAACTCTAATAAAAGCTATAATAATAATAAATTACAATCTATTTATTAATACGCTTACTTGAACAGATCACTGATGCATCCTCATGGTGTCCACAGTTATGCACACCCCATGGACTGTGTCGACAATTCACAATGGAACTTTCATTTCCTTGACACTGAACATCGTCCAGCCAAATCTTTCCACTTCCTTGACCAAACCGTGCACTGCGTGGAGCACTGACAACAGACGAATACCCAAGTTGACGACAGACGGCTCGAGCATCATTTTTATCCCAATTATCGTCACAAACAGTTCCCCAGGTGCCTCTGTAATAGATCTCCACTCTGCCCTCTCCAGGCCCACTTCCTCCAATCAGTCTCAAATTTTCTAGTGTATAAGTTAGAGGTCTATTCTTATTGGGGTTTTAAAGAACGAACAAACAAAGCGAAAAAACAAACAACTCTATTGCCCCATCTGTTATCCTGTCATGCACACAGAATATCTTAAAATGGAAAACTTCGTATTTTTGAGTAATCTGCACGGAACTACTGCGATGCTATTCAACTGAATTGTGCAAAGAAATAGGGGAATACTGTGAAATGTAACAGAGCAAGGCTAGGAATTTTCATTTTGAAAGAGCAACCACCAAGAAACCGGTATAAGGCCGTCATCTTTCAGCTACTTCTTCGATGACCGTATTAATGAGGAACAGTACTTAACTTGAATTTCCCCGCGAAACTTGATTTAAAATAAAACTGTCCATGAAAACGACTCGACATACTAGCCAAGAGAGTTTAATGGGACCGGCAGAGAGGGAATCTTAAGGTGTTGGCGTGGGTGTGTGAATTTCACTAAATTTATTTTTAGTGGTTGTAATTAAACGGAAGTCTTATTCCTAAGGCGTCCGCGCAAATTTAATCAAGTCCAGAAATCAAACCCTCAAAGCAAAAAAAAAAGAAGCAGAATATTTGCAATGGCGGCTGTTAAATTCTTTCTTGACAACGCTGAATCAAGTTTGAACAACAGTGGCGAATTAAAGGTGGGAGTGTGGGGATGATTGCAAAGCCCCTTATGTATTACACCAATCATGCTGTGATATATCGTATAGTAGTTAATTAAGCGATTTGTGACGAGAGGTTTGTGCAAATGGTTGCGTACGTGAAATTTTAATAGAAATACTATGAACTGCAAGCTAATAAGAGTAGAAAAAAACTATCTGTGGAACAGTTCCAAATAGTCACACTCATGTGACGCCTGTCAAGTAATAGATCCTTCTTCGCACAATGTAAACTATTCCAATGGCTCTACAATTATATAGTCATTATTTCATTATTTCTAATAATAAATAGAATCGCACAAATTCTGTATAACACCTTGCCCACCCAAGATATCGGGAAATTCTCGGGTCCAAGGCAAGTTTAGCCTTAGCATAGGTGTCCGCCCTGAATGGAGGTTGGGCTGGGGTTTGTTAATAATTAACAAACAAATAAACCTGCTTTTTTTATTCTGCCTCGGAATCTGCTCCAGCTTCTAAATAATGTACAAAAAAATCCTGATTAACTTATTTGTGCGGGATGTGATGTGTTGATGTCTCAAAAGTGTAATACACCGTTTTCAAGTGAGATAGTTCATGTTTTGAAAGCTGTCGCCATTGTGACTAGTGAATACTTAAACTTATCAACGAATTTGCCATTAGTCAGCTTTTGTGTGCTGATTAAAATGTCCCTTGAATGGAGGTTAAAGCCGGGTTTCGGGATCCTGAAAAGTATTCCTTTCCCCTGAAAGATATGTCCCTTTAACAGAGGTAACAAATAAAAAGGTTATGTATGTGAAAATTTTCCTGAGACTCCCCTGAATTTTCCCTTCAATTCAGAGGTGCCTCGAGAGGGTCCATTGTAATTGACATTCCTCTCAATTCTAATAAAAGCTATAATACTTATAAATTACAATCTATTTATTATTACGCTTACTTGAACAGATCACTGATGCATCCTCATGGTGTCCACAGTTATGCTCACCCCATGGACTGTGTCGACAATTCACAATGGAACTTTCATTTCCCTGACACTGAACATCGTCCAGCCAAATCTTTCCACTTCCTCGACCAAACCGTGCACTGTTTGGAGCACTGACAGCAGAAGGATACCCAAGTTGACGACAGACAACTCGAGCAGCATTTTCATCCCAATTATCGTCACAAACAGTTCCCCAGGTACCGCTGTAATAGATCTCCACTCTGCCCTCTCCAGGCCAACGTCCTCCAATCAGTCTTGGTGTATAAACTAGACACAATCAATTCATATTTTGGTCTTGAAACAAATATAAACCTATTTGATTATGCAAGCATTAGCTTCAGGGCTTACGCGTTTGTTAAAAGTGCTCGAATTTGAGCAAGTCTCGGCTTAAAGTAAATGCTCTAAAGCGATGAAGGGCTAAGCAAAAGCCGTTGACATATTTAGATGTCTTATATTTTTTGCAAGCTCTCCCTTACTCCCTCCCGCCCTGTCATCTGTAGTCAGAGCCAGTTACAAACAACCCACCACTTGCCTTGCTTAAACTTAATTCAAATCTACAGGGCTTCCAAACACAACCACCAACTTCAGGGGGAAACGAGGTGTCTTGTGGCAGAGGTGCAAATCGCCAATTCAAAAACTTGAATATAAAATGACTTAACACTAGAAGTTGAATTCTAATTTCAACAGTGTTGAACAAGGTTAATTAACTCACTGATTACTAGCAGTTTTTTTCCCTTTACTTTAATTTTACATTTACATCGGTATTTTAACTTTTATTTTTTTTTTGCTTTTTAAGCATACTTAAATACACAGGTCGTATTTAATATCACGGTTTCCTCGATTTACATGGGTTTTTAATTGAGCTGGTGCACTATATATCAAGTGAATAGCAATCTAGAGTTACGTCAGAAAGAACACAACAATGATCCCTAACCCGCGTAAACAATAACACAATTATCTCCACACAATGAAACCACACAATAGTGTATATATTGACTTGGTACATCGAGCATCAATCGGTTTTGAACCAAATTAATTCAAAATGGCAGATTTAATATGGCGTTATTCCAGTACGTTGTCTAACAATAAACAAAGTCATCATGACGCCACCGCTATTGTTAAAGATTATCCGTGTGTTAGCCAGCTTCATAAGTTTTTTCAAACATACCACTATTTCAGCATTTTTCGCTTCATGGCTACTCCTAGACAAAAAAAAATTATGAAATTTTGGTTCTGCTTATAACTCATAACAATCGTACGTCATAAGTACGTCAAATCGCGTTAGTTATCCCTAGATGTTGAAAATGATGAGTACATTATTAGGTGTAATTTTGGTGGATGTGTTATGAACTGTTTTAAGTTATCCATGGGAGCCTCCCACATTTCTCTGTCGTAGGAAGCCAGAAAAGGAAAAAAAAAAACATGGTTAGATTAGGGTAAAACTTCTGTTTATTAAGTGGGACGATAAGTTTTGTCATGTTTTGTCGAACTTTTGCCGTTTAAAAGCTACAATATTTCTAATGATCATTTATGTGTAGATCATTTTTTAACGACCAAGAAATGTAGCTGTGTTTTATCCCTTTAAAAAAACTGTTTGAAAAAAAAAACTGGTTAGTAGGACTAATGTCTTTTATTTTCTCTTACCCATGGCACTTACCTAAGCAACGTGGAACAGAGGAACTCCAACTTCTATTAGCTTGACAATATATAACATCAGTCCCCACTAGACTGTAATTCTTATCACAAACAAACTTGACTGATCCACCATAGACGTAGCCTTTCTTGATAATCTGCTTTCCGTTTGCTGGTTTGCCAGGATCACCACACTCAACGGCTATAATAATTACAGGGTGGTTAATTTTGTAGCCTTTGTCGTTTACATAAAATGAACTAATACAACAAATGAAGATAGCAGGGTATTAAGTAACTGCAACTTGAATAGACGCACACCAGTTAATTCTTCTTTAAACGGTTCAAAGTTGCGGAGTATGTAATTCATTTTGCAACCATTACCGAAATCTGTCACGCAATTTAAAAAGTTGCAAATAAAACAACCCGCTTTACCTCCAAAATCAACACAAGCTTTTATCTTTAAAAACAAGAATGAACGCTAACCTTTACACTTGGGAGAGGCAGTGTTCCACCTTCCATCTACACAAGTCAGTTCAGCCTCGCCCTCAAGTGTGTACCCAAGGTTACAAGAGTATCGAACTGTTTTTCCGTGCGTGTAGTTATTACCGATTTTACGACCATGATTCAAAACACCAGGTGAGCGACAGTTAGCTTAATCAAAAAGAAAAAAATCAAGCTTAGCTACAGAAAAAAGTAAGGGAACAAAACAAATTGCTCCTTATTTCTTTAGTTTTTTAAAGAAACTAACTCATTGAGTTATTTTGATTTGGACTTTACCTTATTGAGACCAAGGAACATCTTTGAATATCTTCAAAATCGTTTAAACTATGAAATCAAACTTAGCAAATAGTCCTACAAAATAATCTAAGAACATTTAAAAACATGGCGACCTGCACGTCAACTTTAACGTTACCATGGCAACCCAGGTTTAACACCCTTGTTTTACGAAATTCGTCTTTTTTCTATAAAAACTGATTTATTTCAAGGTTTTCTGGCTGAAATATTGTATCACAATCAATTTAGAATTATTTAAATATTTGTTATAACTGTTAATTCAGTCAAGGCCTTTTGGTGACCAAATTGGCACTTCTCCCATAATACACATACTCCCCCAAAATTGTGCATAAGCATTGTCTTCAGTCTCTCCTGGGAAAACTGCAATACCCAGGAAAAATTGAAAAAAAGACTATGCAAAACTTAAGGGGGCAAACGAGGTGTATTATTGGAGATGTGCAAATGGCCAATAGACCTTTATACCGATACGGCGGCCATATTTAATTAATTGGTTTTAAGGAGTATTATGGGATGCCCAGGGGGCATGAGTTTGATCCGTTCGGTATTTACGCTCGCTTTTCGGAAAATATTCCGAACGTTTTCCTAGAATATGTTTGTAATGGGAAAAAAGACCGTTGTGTTTTATTTGGGGGTAATAATTGTCGCCGCGTTTCCCAAGAAATAGTTGGTGAAAGAACCATACCAGTTTCTTCGGAGGTACGTTAATTCTGCTCTTGCAAATAGCAAAGGCACTTGGCTACTTGGATGAGACTACTGAGCCAAAAGGGATTTAAGGTGAACAAAAATACTAATTAAGTTTGCTCATATCATTTTAAATTTGGAAGACCGGTTGACAGTCATCCTCATCTCACACCGCTCTTTCTGAAGGGCTATGAAAGGGAAATAGTAACACGTAAGAGAAATGCTCCCATGGACGTGCATCTAGTACAACCAATTATTAGTAAGAGGAAGAGGT